GTTTTTTTTTTTCCTCACTCTTCCACTGATGCTGAAGGAAAACAAAAGGAAGTTGTAATTACTACAGTATCCTCTGTCCTTACTGGAAGCCTGCAGGGCACAGGCAGGGAGTGGGAATTCCCAGCTTGGTCCTAGTTTCTTTACTCAAGACTAAGCTGCTACTTCAGGAAGGTATTGCTTTATTCTCTTAATATATGGGTAGGATATTTTTAATGCAGAAATTTTTAGGGTCACATCAAACATGCCTATTACTTGGCTTTCTACAGTTCATCTTTAGTTTTTTAAGGGTTATGTGTTTTATTTATTTATTACTACTACTACTGTTGTCAAAAGGGGAAACATCTTCCTTAAAGCAATGCTTGTTTCATTATGAAAAAAACCGCCAGAAATAGGCAAAATCCCCAGGAATTAGCTAAAAATGTTCCAAAGGAAAGGCAAAGTAGGTTACTAATTAAGTGAAAATTGAGGTCAGTTTGGAATGGGGTCCTCACAATCAGGAGGAAACCAGAGGCAGCGCAAATTGTACATCGAGTCCAAACGTGTTCTGTTTCAGCATTCAGGGCAGGGGAAGGGGCAGTATCCAGTTCCTGGGGGGACTTATTCTTAGGACTTTAGTGTGGTTTCTGAAGCTGCTGGGACCACACAGCCTGTCTGTCTGTCAATCCGTCTGTCTGTCCCCTCCTAATAAACTGTATTCCCCCAGTTTCAGAGAAATCCAGAACAGGAGAGAAGTCTCAGATTAAGGTGATGAAAATCTGGCTGAGCAGAGAAGAGCTACTCGAGCTACTCAAGCACTCCCTAAGAGAAAGGAAGAAGGTTCCTTCTTTCCCTCTTGCTCTGACCGTGGCCATCAGGCAGCAGTGCCAACTCCAGATTAGCTCCAACTTGCAGCTCTTTTGCCTGTTTGGGGTGACACAGATGCTGGGGTGGGGGGATGAGGGGGTGCAGCCTGGAGCGAGGAGGCACCATAGTGGGCAGCAGCTTCGTTTCAGCTGTTGCCATGGGAAAGGTTGCTTGTATTAAATATTTGTGCTGCTTTATTTACTCTCACAGACACGCACAGGTTAGCTGGAGAGTAAACAGGGGATCTGGTGAGCAACAGAGGCAAGGAAACCATGTCTATGTACCTTCAGATTGAACTGCTGGGTGGAGTCTCTGATGTCTAATAAAGGCTGAGCTCATGCTGTGTTTTGTTCCTCAGCAGGAGCAGTGAGGGTCTCCTCTCCTCAGCCATGTATTTTCCTGAAGCGTGTAAGGGTGTACTATTTCATGCCAGCCACCCTCTGTCAGTTAGGTTAAAACTGGCTTTAAAATTGGTTAAAACTGACTTAAAGCCCACTAGAGTGCGTTAGGGCAGGGGTTCGGATGAACACAGAGACGTATAGATCCTGTGGTTGTGTTGTCTCATTCCTTTAGGAAACGGGGTTATCCATAGAAAATAAGAGTAAATATATGCTTTCCACAGAATGATAAACAACTAATTTTGCAGAAATAACAAAGTTGCCTCTTGCATATGACCATTATGGCAATGCCAACCGCAATGTTGAACTGGAGGGGGAGGTTTTGTTTTTTGTTTGTTTGTTTGTTTTCTCTCTCTCCAAAAAGCCTACCTTGCTTATCATACAGACTGGCTGTTCTTTGATTGCTGGTGAAGTCAAAGATGCTGCCTGTGGGTGCAGGAGCACGTTGTCAAGCTACAGCATTGCTTCACAAAGTGCTTTTGCCTGGATTTATATCCTAGGGAACCACTAGGTTTCTGTGCCGTACTCTGCATGTTTTATCATCATAATTAATATTCCTTTCTGCCATCTTTCATGCCTTTGGTTCAAAGCGGTGGAGAGTACCAGCATGTTCTGGAAACAAAGAAGGAGGTGAAAAACCCCCAGATCTCTCTCTGCAGATGCTGCAGATCCAGCTCGCCTGTTAGGACTCAAGTGTATTTCATATAACAGATGCTACTGAGCACAAAGTTTCCATTGTATATGCCTGAGTGTGTTCATGTGGAGTCCCTGCAAAGCGAGCAGGGGCATCACTGCGTTGCTGGAATTGGGATATTGATGTAATTGGACTCTTGCAAAGTCATTTCATTTGAAGTGCTAACAGTCTGACTTCATGCTATTAGCATCCAGACCAAACAGCTATTGTTGAAGGCAGGCACACAACCCACTTATTATGAAGAGATTTTATCTAAATAGTCAAAAGAAATGGGAAGCAGCAAGATAAAGAGTTAAGTCAACAGAGAAACAGTATAAAAATTTATCTGAGATATTTGTGTGTTTAATGAAAGCTCCTGAAGACAAAGGAGTTACAGATTTTCCAAGATAGCAAGACAGAGTCTCAGTGATGTGGGGAGGCTGTGGGCCTTTCCAGGAGCTCCAGGCAACAAGGGAAACTCCTAAATGCTGGGGATGTTCCCTGAAGACAAATTGCTCTTCTTTCTCAGTGAGCATAGCAAGGGTCAGGACAGAAAGGAGAAGGTTCCCCCTAGAGAACCATCACGTTGTGGATCAATAGAGGCATTGAAACACCAGGAGGAAGGAGAGGGAGGGGATGGGCTTCCAAGAAGTGGTTTATGAGGAAGAAAGTGGTCATTTGGCACACCTGACAAAGGAGATTGTTAAAAGCAGAACTGTGCTTGTTAGGGTGCTGTGTCCTTGTGGTTTCCTACTGCCCTTTTTTCTGCTTGGAAGGACTCCCCTTGGGTGGGCAGCTCAGGTCCCCATGGAAAGGGCAGGTGTAAAGTTAGGTGTCCTGATTCCTCTGCCCAAAATGATGGTTTTGGGCAGCACACATTCCTTTTGCCTTATGTAAACGGTTGCTGAAAGACCTTTGTTCTAGTGTAATCTTGACAGTTTTCAGCTTTTCTGCTGTAAAGGTGTAACTTCCCTGGGGGCTTTGCATGTCTAGGCATAAAACCATTCATGAAACCACTGCAGTAGAGAATGTTCCTAGAGAACTGCAGAGCTTTAGGCTGAGCAGTAAAATAGCATTAGAGACAGAGAGGCCTGTGCACCCTGCATGGGCTGTTAAGACACATAGGACCCAGAAAAGCAGACTGCTCGTGGCCTCTTGGCAGCTCCTTTGGGGGCATGTCCTCTCCTGGTACAGTGCATTCTCCCTCAGAGGCTGTCCTTCAACCCTTGCATTTGGAAAGTAGTTGTGGGCAGAGTGGGTGATGATGGGTTGCTGCTCCCTCTGCAGCAGCAGGGATGGGGCACCACCTCGTGCTGCTGATGGGCTTAGTGCTCACGGTCAGAAAGGCCATCCCCAACTTGCTGTCCTGTTGTAGGGTGCTCACAGCTGCCTGCTCCCCAGGCAACTGCCTGCTTTGCCTATCTACACACATTCCACCTGGTCTGTGAACCAGCTAAAGGTAGGACAGATGAGATCTGGATAGTTGGTGCTGTGGAGCTCAGATGGGGTATGTCCTGAGGGCACTCTCTTGAGGAGTGTCTACTTGTGGCTTTGATTGAGTGGATCGAGTGGACCATGGAGCAAGAGGTGGTCCTAGCCTCAGGATGTCTATCCATCTCTGCTCAGTCACTCCCTGCTTTCCACAGGCTCACATTGTATTCCCTTGAAAGAAGCTTTCTGGGAAAATACAGCAATTCCCATACATCATGTTGCCCCAGTTTAGGGCACGATCTGCAATTATACTGTGTTCAAAATGTGTACACTGCAGAGAATCTTGCCTGCAGGACTGGCACTTTGACATCCAATTTCCTTCCACAGAGAAGTCTGGGGAAATGATTTTTGTTAGAGCTGGGCTTGTTGGAAAAATGCTGATGAAGGGAAACAAACACATTGTGTTGGAATTTTCATGGGAAAATATTGCTGAAGGATTTCCAGCATGCCTGGAATGTGTCTCCTCACTACTAACCCTCCAACTCCATCTGGCATTCCTATGTGGTGCAGCTATAATATTCGAAAGGAAATATTTTAACTTTAGTCAATTAGAAATTATGGTCAAAATGGGGTGTGCATAAAGCCTTTCCATTGTCAACATTTTTCACAACCTGGGAAAACACTGTATTTTGCAACCTCAGTATTTCCTACTGCCAACAGCTCAAATGCATGACCACTGCTGGAATTTCTGTTTGTCCTTCTATTTATTTCCTCCTCCCTATCATTACTAATGAATCAAATGGCTCTGTGATAACATGCTGGTGGAATTAAGCACTGAGTAAAAGAGCCAGAACAACATAACATTTACTTCGTTTCCAAGTAGGAAACTAGTGGAATTTTACTGTCACGAAAATGTAGAAAATCTTGGAAGCAATTGCAGGCATTAAACCCAGAGAGATGAATGCACTTACTTGGATGAACCTAGATGCTGTGTGGAAAAATGTGTCTTAAATTCATACCACACCCAAAATAATTCTTGAGTAGCATATGGTTTTGAATCAATGCAGCTTGTAACGGCTAATACAAGACTCTTTCTTCAGCTGATTAAAATCCTCCAGGTATTGATTTCATTTTTATACTAATGGAAAGGAGAAATAAAAACCGGTTTGTAACTACCTAGCAAAGAGAGTCTGGTAAGGCCAGTGTTTCAGCTTATCTCCAAGTGTAGTGTCTTTCCCACAGGAGTGCAAGAACTTTTTAAAAATTTATTTTAACTATGAGCTCCTGGAGCTAAATGGTATTTTCTGTGCAGGAATTTGTTCTGAGGATTATGGATCAGAACCTTTAACAGTCCAGGTCTTGCCAGTACAGTCCTTGCACTGGGTGGGCATAAATCTCCTCTCTTCAGTGGGGGCTGGATGGTGAATAGACCTTTATGTGTGCAGACACATATGGACACACACAGACGTGCACACTTTAGGGTGGATTACTGTAAAGCTATGCATGTGTGTATAAAGTAATATATAATAGTGTTTGTTGTTGCTGGAAAATTGCGCAATCCCGAAAGCTGAGGTCACTCTTATCTCCTCTGCTGCTAAAAAGTGAAAATCAATGCCCCTTCTCCGGGGCTGTACTTCCCCGTTGGCTAACACCAGGCTTTCTGGGAGGTGGGGAGAAAATTTGGCTCCATAGCCAGGCGTGATCTCCTTGCCAATGAAGAGCTCAGGTACAGCCGGGGCACGTGGGGCGTGGAAAAGTGGAAAGTGATGTGTGCTTCACAGAAACTATTAATAATCAACTCCCTTAAACTGATACGATTGTCATCGAAATAACTGGCAGTGTGCAGGGATGTTTTAATCATTTAGAAAATGCCGAAAATCCCGCTGGCTTTCCCCCAGTGGCTGTGGTTAGATTGTGTATGAGGTTTTTGACATTATTTTCCTAGAAGAGAGATAGATTACATAAGAGGGCTGGCAGCCTATAAAAATGTCCCTACTCGGCGCAGGCAGGAACCAGGTTACACTTCTTATAAGGCAGCTGAAGCCTATAGATCACAGAAAAAAAAAAATCTGGGGAAAAACATCTTCTCTGGGAGATAGCCACTAAGATCACCTTGCACAGAAGTATTTCTAACTTTTTTGGTTTTTTTTTTTTTTTTTTTCCTGATAGTATTCCCAGTTGGACCAACAGCATCTGAATTTGCTGGGATTATGAGGAAGACAAAGTATTCCTGGGGAGCCTTCGCAGGAAGAGGCAGCAAGTTGGCTGGGGAAAACACAAGGATGCTTCCCAAGACTGTGCATGAGGAGAGAAAGAAGCAGGAAGCCAAGAGGAGAGGGAAGCTGAAAACCGTGGCAGGAAAATTGCTGAAGGCCGTGGCTGGTGGTAAAGAGGCAGTGGAGGAGAAGGCCAGCAGTGAGGATGTGGCAGGGAATTTGCTGAAGATGGCAACCAGCAGGAAGGAAGTGGAGGGAGAGACACCTGCAGGTAACATTGGAGTTATCTCTGGGTTCAGTCCTGGATTTTCTCTGCCTCTCCCACCCCTGCAGATGCCTCTGTTCATTAGCTTCTGGAGTAGGTGCTTTACACTTTCCTCCTCCCCATCCTTCACCTGAGTTCTTGTCCCTTCTGAACTGTACACTTGCTCCTCTGGAAACTTCTGTATTTTATTTCTGCTTTGCCTCACAAGTATTTCTCTTTGCCGGTCTTATTTTTATCCCTGCAAAGGCGCCTGATGTGTCGTGTGAGAAAGACAACGTATGTGTGACTGACACACAGTCAGGTGTGACAGTGCTGGTCTTCCACAGATGGGGAGGGGGAGGTAGGGCTAATTGTACCAAATAAACATTTCCCATGTGTTGCACGTGATGAGGCAGGACGAGTGCAACTTGTTAGCCCCCTCCTGAGCAGCTTGCCCATTGCATCGTTGCATCAACCCTTCTCCATTCTCCATTTTGCGTCACGTTATCTCCTTCTAGTCCTGTTTGATTTCATTCTTAGCACTCAGCCAAGGTGTTTTCATAGAGGAAAGTTAGGGTACAGGTGTAAGGTGATGGAAGCTCATACTCTTTCATTCTTCATTCTACACCCAAAGCTGAATCCTGAATTAATCTCAGAATCCCACTGCTTCTGGCCTTGCTTAACTTACCCTGCTTTCTCATCAAGTTTGATTTTCCCTCTGGGCTCTGCTCCAGATACCTTGGGGCAAATCTTCTTAACCCTTTGTTGCTCAATTTTATCATCTGTAAAATGCACAGGAAAAAAAACCCTGCAGCTCTGTGTAGCTGTTGTGAGATTACATTTAACTCTCAGTGGTGGGCTGGGTGCGTACTTTGGAAACAAGCAGCGTTGAAAAGCTTCTCCTTCCAATTCTCCTTCCAATTTCCCACCTTTAAAGATTTTGTAACTGTCTTGATGGGGTGATTAGGGCAGTGGCTCAGTCACCAGAGCTTCTTGCAGATGTGGAAGTCATGGGGAGTTATGTGAACCCCCGTAGCTCAACGCTGCAGATAGGTAGCCCACCATCTGATTTTCACCTTTGGCTGAAATAGCATCCAGAGCTGTTGGGCCTAGTGAAACAGCCCCAGCAAAGAGACTTCACTGAGCAGTCTCAGACTAAGAGGAGAGCTTGCTGGCAGGAGTGAGACCCTCTGTTTAGCTATGCCAGACTCTGAACCCAAGGGAGGGACCTTACAAGAGAGTCTGCAGCACTTTGGTCCTGCCAGGGTGTCTGTAGAGAAGACAGAAGATTCCTTCTAGGCTTGACTTTCAGCTGTTGGCTCTTTCAGAAGGTGTCCTTTCTCTAATGCTTTCCTTCTGGACAAAAGGCACATTCCTTAAGGAAAGATTGTCATTAATGAACCTGCATTGCCCACATGAGGAGGTCTACTGGGGTGATGACAGAAAGCTGCAGAAGACTAGTCTGCAGGCTTAGTTGGCCTGAAGGAGAAGGAATGAAAGAAAGAAAGAGGAAAGAAGATGCTATCCCTTGAGGAAACGGAGAGGTGCTAGTGCTAGACCTTAGGTGAGGTGATCTTGAGTAGATCCTGAGGAGTTTTGGGATACATATAAACGACATACTTCAGTACTTGGATATTAAAGTGGTGCATCCTATAGGGGAGTGAAGAAACATCAAGATGTCTTCTTACTTTCTCTATTGCAGAGGAAACCATCTGTGGATTCATTGAGCAAGGAAAATTTTTTGAAGCTTGTGATCGTATTTATGATCTGGAGCATTCTGGAAATGATGGTGTGGGAAAGTCTGAATCACTTTATACGCTGCTGGCTGAACGAATGTGGACTGTGGTGGGAGAAGCACTCCGTGGAAGTGGTGGGATGTTCCTGGAGCCGTTGCAGTCAGTGGGGGAATCGCTGAAGTGGGAGAAGCAGAAGGAAGCAGAGTGGCTTGGCAGCAGCCAAGAGACGGAGTCTGTTTCCACCTGGAGTCCAAACTTCTGGAGGAAAGATCTGGAGGAAAAGCTAATACATTATATAACAGCCCAGATTCCCCCCTTTGGTTCCTGTAGTAACACAGATGAGGCTGCACTGAAACAGCACCTGAGTCAGCTGGAAATGACGTTTATCCCCAGCCTGGAGCACAGAAGTGGTTTCTTCAAGGAAGCAGGACTGCTCGTCACCTACACCCACTGCTGTCATGCCTCTTTGTCTTCTCACCTTTCCACACTTACTGACAGTAGCAATTTCAGCTTCAGCCAATGCCTTTTAGTTTATGAATGGGGCCTTAAAATGTACAAAAGGTATGTTTGAAGGGCTTCTTTTTCTCTCCATGTTTTCTATGTCTCTGTTCTTCAGTTTTGAGCCCAGTCCCTGCTTCCTGTTAACGCAGTGATGCTCAGGACTCTTGCTGAGTTTAGCCTTGCCAACAGCCTGTTTTATCTTCTGTGCTCTCAGAATCAGAGCCTTTTTCTCATTGCAGCACTGCCTCTTTCTAAATCCTTCATGTTGGGCTTAGGGGCTTACCTGAGTTATGCAGGTATTTTTCTGCTGGTCTCCTGTTGGACATGCACAGTGTCCTTCTTTCCTGAACAATTTCTTTTCTTGCATTAAGCCTTTTTTAGCAAGGCCCGTCAAGCTCTGATTACTCCAGAATAATTTTGTCTTGCCTTTATGTCAACATTCTGCCCTGTGGACTTTTCTTGTCATCTTTGTGGTTTTCTTGCTGCTTGATCTGGCTTGCAGTTTGACCAGTTGTTTCCATATTTCCTGCATTAGTGTTCAGATCACAGGAAAAACATATAGCAGATCATCACATTCCTGCCCAAGTTTGGGAAAGAGGATGTGGCTTTCCCCATGATCTGAAGAGCGGCACATCTGGGATCTTTTGGTCCAATGTGAATTCAAAGCCTGTGGGTGTCATCAAAGCCTGAAGCTTTCTCGTGATTTCTTCTTGTATGACAGTGGTAGATGATGTGTTTGATCCTCTGTGTCCATGGTTACTTTGCTACTTGACAGCTCCAATCTACTTACGCCCTAATAGTTTTCAGCCCTTTGGGGTTATTTGATTGCTTCCATCCAAGCCTAGAGCGTCTCTGTTCCTTGTATTAATTACAGTTATAAACCCCTGATTAGCTCATAAACAGTTAATCAGGTGGGCTCTTCTCCTCACCAGCTCCCAAAGGAAGGAGGCGGGGTAGTGGGTACATGCTGGTGTCCTCAGACACATGGGAGACATGTGGCCAGGGAACATCCCTTGTACTGCTACTTTTATGGGTTTAATTTGGTAAAACTTTGGTTTTAGATAAGAGCAATGGATTGATGAAAGATTGAATACTTATGTGAAATTGGAGGTAAGTAATTATGGTAATATAAATATACAATGAAAGGCTCAAAGATAGGAAAAAATATGTTATGCAAATGCTGAATTCCTTCAAGGCAAAAAAAAAAAAAGTGAGAGCAGCTTGTGACTGTATTAGGGTCAGGAGGCAGTGAGGAAAGTGGAAATGAGAACAGAGGTGCCAGACTTAACTATTTGGCTCTGAATACAGTTACAACCTTAATGAATGCACCCGTGGAGATGCAGTTGTCCTGTTATATAGCTGCTTTTTACTCCATTCAGAGAGAATAGGTGACACTCCTAAAATTGTGCATCCATGGAAGCGTGCCTGGGTGACTCTGCCCCAGCCCGAGAAGGAATTCTGCAGCAGGGACTGAGGGAAAGTGTCATTTGGGCAGCAAATATAGGAGGAAGGAAAAGAGCACAAAAGAATATTTGGCAAAAGGGCATGATAAGAGATCATCTACCACATTGTGGCTGCCCTGACGCTGCGAACGCTGCTGGGTGCTTACAGGGCACCCCGTTTGCTGAACAAGAGGCTGTGGTGCCAAGCAGGGGGGTGCCAGGGGGGCGAGGGGCTGTGGGCTGTTGGGAAGCTGCCCCTCTGGCTGAGCTCCGAGAAGGAATTCTGCAGCAGGGACTGAGGGAAAGTGTCATTTGGGCAGCAAATATAGGAGGAAGGAAAAGAGCACAAAAGAATATTTGGCAAAAGGGCATGATAAGAGATCATCTACCACATTGTGGCTGCCCTGACGCTGCGAACGCTGCTGGGTGCTTACAGGGCACCCCGTTTGCTGAGCGAGAGCCGTGGTGCCAAGCAGGGGGTGCCAGGGGGGCGAGGGGCTGTGGGCTGTTGGGAAGCTGCCCCTCTGGCTGAGCTCTTGCTCTTTTTTCTGCACACAGCAGCAGCGAGACATGTCTGGGACCCAGGCAAACCCCCCAGCACAACCTTTCCTTTGGTGTACAGTGTCTCATGTGGATTATTTTGAAGACTGAGGAAAAGTTACTTGCAGCCACCCGGGTAAGAACTCAGGAGTTTTACCTATTTTGCCTGGTTTATTCCCATGGTTTTAAAATAAGGAATGCCCTTTTTAAATGAGGTCCTCGCTTGCTGGCTGAGCCAGCTCTGCTCAGGTGTGTGTGAGCCTCAAGGTCTCCATCTTGGCCAAGTTTCATAGCAGAGCCCAGGTGTAAAGATCCACGACTGTCTTCTGGCAAGGGGATGCTACCCTGTCCTTGCTCCATGGGTGCTGGGACATTTGCAAATCTCTTCATCCCGTTGCTGCACCTTCATAGTGCTGCAGCCTACTCTGCTCAGAAGGCAATGTATCTGGAGGAAAGGAAGGCTATGGGTGAAATCCACTTCTTTTTGAGGGCCATTTCAAGATGTTGAAACAGGTTGCCCCGAGAAGTTGTGGATGCCCCATCCCTGGAGGTGTTCAAGGCCAGGCTGGATGGGTCTTTGAGCAACCTGGTCAGGTGGGAGGTGTCCCTGCCCATGGCAAGGGGGCTGGAACTTGATGATCTTCAAGGTCCTTACCAACTCTAACCATTCTATGATTCTACAATTCATCTTCTCTCCAGCTGTTACTGAGCCCATAGTGTGCAACAGTTGTTTTTTTTAATAGCCTCAGCTGTGCAGGATATTTAGGTTGCCGGATTTGCCTGTATGGAGACCCCTTACAGCCTTCTCCAGCCTGCTGGGACTGACACCGCTGAGGTTATAGCAAAGATTATTTCCAGAGCCCAGCACAAGAAATCAGGCAGCTGGTGCACACCCGGCACGGCCCTCCTGTAGGGTCAGAGCAGGGCATCCTTCCCTCCATCCCCCAGGGGAACTCAGCTCCCTGCCCTGTGGACTTTTCTTGTCATCTTTGTGGTTTTCTTGCTGCTTGATCTGGCTTGCAGTTTGACCAGTTGTTTCCATATTTCCTGCATTAGTGTTCAGATCACAGGAAAAACATATAGCAGATCATCACATTCCTGCCCAAGTTTGGGAAAGAGGATGTGGCTTTCCCCATGATCTGAAGAGCGGCACATCTGGGATCTTTTGGTCCAATGTGAATTCAAAGCCTGTGGGTGTCATCAAAGCCTGAAGCTTTCTCGTGATTTCTTCTTGTATGACAGTGGTAGATGATGTGTTTGATCCTCTGTGTCCATGGTTACTTTGCTACTTGACAGCTCCAATCTACTTACGCCCTAATAGTTTTCAGCCCTTTGGGGTTATTTGATTGCTTCCATCCAAGCCTAGAGCGTCTCTGTTCCTTGTATTAATTACAGTTATAAACCCCTGATTAGCTCATAAACAGTTAATCAGGTGGGCTCTTCTCCTCACCAGCTCCCAAAGGAAGGAGGCGGGGTAGTGGGTACATGCTGGTGTCCTCAGACACATGGGAGACATGTGGCCAGGGAACATCCCTTGTACTGCTACTTTTATGGGTTTAATTTGGTAAAACTTTGGTTTTAGATAAGAGCAATGGATTGATGAAAGATTGAATACTTATGTGAAATTGGAGGTAAGTAATTATGGTAATATAAATATACAATGAAAGGCTCAAAGATAGGAAAAAATATGTTATGCAAATGCTGAATTCCTTCAAGGCAAAAAAAAAAAAAGTGAGAGCAGCTTGTGACTGTATTAGGGTCAGGAGGCAGTGAGGAAAGTGGAAATGAGAACAGAGGTGCCAGACTTAACTATTTGGCTCTGAATACAGTTACAACCTTAATGAATGCACCCGTGGAGATGCAGTTGTCCTGTTATATAGCTGCTTTTTACTCCATTCAGAGAGAATAGGTGACACTCCTAAAATTGTGCATCCATGGAAGCGTGCCTGGGTGACTCTGCCCCAGCCCGAGAAGGAATTCTGCAGCAGGGACTGAGGGAAAGTGTCATTTGGGCAGCAAATATAGGAGGAAGGAAAAGAGCACAAAAGAATATTTGGCAAAAGGGCATGATAAGAGATCATCTACCACATTGTGGCTGCCCTGACGCTGCGAACGCTGCTGGGTGCTTACAGGGCACCCCGTTTGCTGAGCGAGAGCCGTGGTGCCAAGCAGGGGGTGCCAGGGGGGCGAGGGGCTGTGGGCTGTTGGGAAGCTGCCCCTCTGGCTGAGCTCTTGCTCTTTTTTCTGCACACAGCAGCAGCGAGACATGTCTGGGACCCAGGCAAACCCCCCAGCACAACCTTTCCTTTGGTGTACAGTGTCTCATGTGGATTATTTTGAAGACTGAGGAAAAGTTACTTGCAGCCACCCGGGTAAGAACTCAGGAGTTTTACCTATTTTGCCTGGTTTATTCCCATGGTTTTAAAATAAGGAATGCCCTTTTTAAATGAGGTCCTCGCTTGCTGGCTGAGCCAGCTCTGCTCAGGTGTGTGTGAGCCTCAAGGTCTCCATCTTGGCCAAGTTTCATAGCAGAGCCCAGGTGTAAAGATCCACGACTGTCTTCTGGCAAGGGGATGCTACCCTGTCCTTGCTCCATGGGTGCTGGGACATTTGCAAATCTCTTCATCCCGTTGCTGCACCTTCATAGTGCTGCAGCCTACTCTGCTCAGAAGGCAATGTATCTGGAGGAAAGGAAGGCTATGGGTGAAATCCACTTCTTTTTGAGGGCCATTTCAAGATGTTGAAACAGGTTGCCCCGAGAAGTTGTGGATGCCCCATCCCTGGAGGTGTTCAAGGCCAGGCTGGATGGGTCTTTGAGCAACCTGGTCAGGTGGGAGGTGTCCCTGCCCATGGCAAGGGGGCTGGAACTTGATGATCTTCAAGGTCCTTACCAACTCTAACCATTCTATGATTCTACAATTCATCTTCTCTCCAGCTGTTACTGAGCCCATAGTGTGCAACAGTTGTTTTTTTTAATAGCCTCAGCTGTGCAGGATGTTTAGGTTGCCGGATTTGCCTGTATGGAGACCCCTTACAGCCTTCTCCAGCCTGCTGGGACTGACACCGCTGAGGTTATAGCAAAGATTATTTCCAGAGCCCAGCACAAGAAATCAGGCAGCTGGTGCACACCCGGCACGGCCCTCCTGTAGGGTCAGAGCAGGGCATCCTTCCCTCCATCCCCCAGGGGAACTCAGCTCCAGGGCTGCGGGATCTCCTTCTTTTTTCGGAGAAGCTCCCCCTTTGAAGAATGCTGTCGAGGTGTTCCCTCCATCCCCCAGGGGAACTCAGCTCCGGGGCTTCGGGATCTCCTTTTCTTGGAGAAGCTCCCCCTTTGAAGACTGCTGTCGAGGCCTGTGGAATACAAATGAAGCAGGGAAGATGCGTTGTAGCAACGGGGAGCTCCAGGGGAAACCATGCTATTTGGAAAACTCAGCAGGGCCTTTTAGCTTCAGCTAAAGTCAAAATGCAGCAGCAGGAGTTACCGCACTTATCTCTCTTGATTTCCCTTTCCACCAGCCCCCGGGGAGCAGAGGAAGGGAAATTCCATGGCAAACTGCTGAGTCACCTCAGGGAAAGTACTCTAAATTGCAGAGATTTTCCTCAAGACCTATTCCCTGAAGGAGAACACAAAGGCAGTCACAAACATGGGAGTAGAGGTGCCAGCTGGTGACAACATGCTTAAAACCTACTGATTTCATTGTTTAACATTAAGCATCTTTATGGGATGTTTCTAATCATTACCCTGGGGAAGACCCACATGTTCTTGAGGTCTATTTTTGGCATGTGTTTCAATGAAGGAAATGACTACTCAGGGTAGTGCTAGTGAGGTTGGCTTAGAGCATGTCACTGAGTCATTGACAAGCTCTCAAAGATGCTGACTAACAGTGATGGAGAATTTAACTCTGTTTTTTTTTTTTTTTTTTTTTAAGTTCCCTCTAATGTAATAGCTGGAGAAAGCTTTTAACCATGGGCTCTCTGCTTTCCTGGTGCACGGTGTGCTGAGCAGGCTCACCTAGATCTGGCAACGGTTCTGGGTGTTTGTGCCACGCTGCCCTGAGTTGGCTGCATCTTTTCCTGCCACCTTGGATCTGGAAGCATCCCAGCTCTGTACGTGAAGAACAGAGCTGGAGTTGCTGGAGAGTGTAGGACAGCAGTGTCCCAGCTCGCTTCGAATCTGGCCAGTTTAGGACCAGCTCCAGGTTTAAGCTAATGAGATTAAGTGGACGTGAGCTGACTCCATATGGTAAAATATGGATCTCTCTTCACTCAGCTCACTGGCATAGCTTAGAAAACCTGCTTTATCCCTCTGTTTCTTTTTCCAGGATACCCCAGCCCTTCATTATTCAAAATATGCAGGAAGCTGCTGTTGAGCAAATATCCTGTCAGTTATCTCTGAGCGATTGTAATATGTAATTGTGACTGTAAATCACGTGGTGTGGGCTTTCCCGCTTCAGTGGATGACTAAATTTTTCTAAATGAAAATAGAACAGTGAGAATAAGCCATGGTCTGCTTTGCCTACACATACCTGGCTTGTCACTGAGGGTGCCAGCCTGGTATCTGTGCAAACTAAAAGCACTTTAAACAGAAATGAGCCATGAGAACTGTGACCACATCTGAAAGTGCTGAGAGCTTAGAGGCCACGTGGGGTTCAAAACCACTTCCAAACACCGCTGCAGGGAACTTGCCACCATGCAGCTGGCATTTCCTCTGCCCGGACATCTCTGGAGCAAGGGGGCTTTGTGCCTTGAGGCTACATGTTTGGTGAACTGGAAATGATGGTGCCATCGATTGAGCTGTCGATGTGTCACCCCTGCCCTTGCCATACTGGGGAATTTGACGTGACCACAAGGCAAACCTTCCAGCATGACACCAGGGTTCATTCTGATACTGAGAGGTGGAAAATCAGCTTTCTGTCACTTTTTGCTTTAGATCAAAACTGGCTCTTTATCCAAAAACAGAGATGGCACCCATCCTGACCTGCAAAGGATCACTTGGGTCTGTGCCGCCTTCTCTCCCTTCCTCTTTCCTTCCCTCCCTCTATTTTTTCAAGTAGATAAAAGGAGAGCTGAGAAGTTCATGTTCTTGGGATAATTTGGGCCAAGGACCTGCTGCTGCCCAAACGAATAAGGCTGCATGGTTGTTCTGCCCACCGGTGTGTCACTGATGTGCTCCCACCTACATTGAGCATCTTAGTTAATTTTGACTGCACTTGATAATGATGTAAAGTTCTCAAGGATGTTAAATTCTTGAATGTTTTAAAACAGCAGCTGGAGAGATGAGGGACCCAAATTGTAACTCAGGCCCTTGTATTTTTCAAGAAAAAAGTGCTTGTTTGGGCAGTCAGCACCGGTGGGGCTGGCCAGCCATGGATCTGAAGGTTTTACAGCATGGGGTACCATGTCTTGGTCAGACAGGGAGGGACAAGGAGGAAATTGGAGGTTATTTATGGGCCTGTTTGTTACAGCAGAAATTCTGGTCCTCTCCACTTTGGAGCTTTGGTGCCTGAGGTGCTCGTGTCACCACAAGAACTACAAACAAGCAAACTCGTGCTAATTCAGCCACGCTGTCTGATCCAAAGCAACTAAGTACTCTGGCTCAACAAGTTATTGCCTTGCAGTTACTAACTAAATGCAAGCTTTGTCCCACTGGAGAGCAAGGGCTTCATGTTTGGCTTAAGCCAACACATTTTACTGTGCAACTGGGGCATGGCTAGAAGTGTTTGTGCAGCTTGGCTGGGATGTGTTATCTCAGCACATCGTGTTCACACAATTGCTCACAATCAGGTGATGGCACTCGGGAGGATAGGAATTTTTCTGGGGTTGTTTACAACTGCTTATTTGTCTTTGATTAACGCTTTTTAATGAGTGTGACAGAGCGGTTGCTTTGAATATACCTTTGATGAAATTCTTCAGTGACAGCCACAAATTTCCTAATTCTTCAGCCAGAAAAGAACAAAGACAAAAATGGAAGATCAAACTTTACATTCTTTCTATTTCTTTAGAGAAAGATGCAGAAATGGAAGAAGTGAGCCAGGCTTTTGAGTTTAAAGCTTCTATAAAGGTCAGATCATGTTTTAAGCAATAAGCCCTTTCTCTGCAGCGTTGGTTTTGTTTTTACAGCCCATTCAAACTAACACAAGCCAGCCAAGTCTTGGGAAATTTCCCATCACGCAGCCTCATGGGGCTCATCTCACAGTGACAGTAGCTCTAAACACTAACCCGGCTCCTCTTTGCCCTCACAAGCCCCTGGCTCAAGCGAGGGAATGCTTTTAATTAGCACTGGCTGGTTTTATGCAAGTGCTGGTTGGAGCTAGGAAGGGTGGAAAAATCTCAGCTACAGTAGCTGGCAGCACCGCGTTGTGTCTGAGCGTTGTTTTGCTGTGTGGGCGCCTTCATTGGAGCTAAGCTAACTAGGGAAGACTGTAGATAACCCAAGCTGACACTGGGATGAAAGGAAGCTGCAAATCACTTAAACTCAAACAAACAACGTGGAACAAAACAGAACAATGTTATTAGGTCAGCTGGAAAATAGCCAGGCTTTGGGTAAAACAAGACGGACAAAAAAATAGAGGCAGAAATTGATGTAGTTATATCCAAATATTCATATAGTTCGTATCCAAATGCATAACGAGAGGCTGGCAAACCTAACTCATTACAAATGCCATTGTACCTCAGCTGTTCTTTTTTTTCTTTCTTTTGCTATTTAGAAGGAAGTAGGGAAAGCCCTGAAAGAAGCCTTTGATATCGGGAAACCCCCTTGTGCAGATGCTGCAGTCATTCAGGTAAACCGAGGGAAACTGAAAAGCTCTCATATTTTGGGGCAGTCATGCTTTTGCACAGAAGTACCCAGGTATCTGGCAAGACTGAGTTTTGCATGTCTTGAGCTAAGCTTGGTGTGTTAAAAGCTTGCAAGTTAGCTGCTGTATGTTAACTGCTTCTGTTTGCTCCCAAACCCGTTTTTCTCTCATGCACATATAAAGAAAACTAAAGTAATTCAAAAAGGAAGAGCCTGAGACCAGCTGATTCAAGTGTATTTTCAGATATGCACCTGGATTTTCATCTAACCTTTTGGAAAGTCACAGTGTGTGCTAACCCATCTGCTCTGTACGAGCTCTGCAGAGCACTTTTTATAAAAGCAGCAGAGTCGCCGAGCCGTGGCAGGTCCCCGTGCCTGGCAGCACACACACAGGTGGCTTCCTCCCCTCTTGTGTGCTGGGTATGGCCGTGATTGTGGCTGTGACCAACGGGCTAGGAGGCACAGGGGACCACTCCAGAGCACAGCAAAGCCAAGTGCTCCAAGAGCATCGCAGAAGCACACTCTGCTGGCTTATGAGCAGAACATACCATGGCCAGAGGGCATTTGGGATCAAAACCCGCAGAAGGCTTAAAATAAATCCTGGGCTTTACATGTGGACTCAAGTGATGCTAGAGATTGGGGGCTGCTGTGACTGTATCTTTCTTCTCCACTGCCACCACGCCACCGGCAGTCCTGTTTCAGGTCAAGAGAGAGGGAAGTAACCCCATGGTCCTCTGGGATGGCCAACAGCCTCAGGCACCGCGTTGGAGGCTGGTGATAGGCATTGCAGCTGGTCTTCCTTATGAGGATACAGCTTTAATTGGCAAAAAATGGCTTTTCTGGCCCAACTCAGATGCAGGCACCAAGTGCAGAGCTCACAGAGGGGACTGTTCCCTTGTTTTGCCCTGTGCCCACTGGAGCAGTGATGTACTTGGTGATGTACCTGTGCTGGGGAGGCTTTTAGCTACTGAGCTGGCTTTTTTTTTCCCCCTGCTTCTGGCTGGCAGAGCAAAGGTTTCCAATGGGGACCAGGCCAAAGGCTGGTTTGAATGCTGTGGTTGTCATATCTGCAACATCTGGCCATGCTTTGGCACAAGTGGTTTTGCTCCGTTGTGTATGTACCTGGCAGGTTTGAATGCTCTGGGGTAGGTGATGGAAAAGCCTGGATAAATAGGCAAGCCTTATGAAATTACCGCCTCCTCAATTTTCTGAGGCTGCCAAAGATCAGATAGAAAATGAACAAGGTGTCATGGAAACTCATCAGCCATGGTTTCCTTATGCTTTGGGGTGGCATATTTTATCCTGTCCCTTTGGGTGAACTTTTACATCTGTTGTGAGCAGTGGAAAAACCCATTCACGATGTGAGTCACCCTTTGTCTCTGGCTGACGCTTCCCAGTGCACTGGGAGAGCACAGTGTATGAGTCCATCTGTCTCCTTTTATCCATCTGGCTCTCCTCTCCTTGCAGGCTTTTGTTTCCACAGCACAACTTAATGGGCAGCATTAAATTGCCACCTGCTCAAGCCTGCCCAATATGGGGTGGATTTCTAGCTGCCTGGCACAGCCCACCTCCTGCAGGCACCTGGGCCACCCAACTGGGGTCAGTGGGGTGAGACAGGCAACCTAGGGTTTAACAGACATTGCTGTGTCAGGCCTGAGCGGTGGTGGGACCTGTCTTCTTCAGACATCCCTGGAAGAGGCACAGGGCACACTGTTAGAGCTGTCTAACCTTTTCTTGAGTGGCTGCACACACATTTATCTGCAAGGTTGAGTCACATCATAGAGGTGCAGGTGCTCCTTGAAATGACAGGTCTTCTTCATAGGAGCTGAGCTGCTGGGCTGGACATTGCTAGCAGAGAACATCTGTAGGGACAGGATTTCCCCTGAGAGCAGGACTTCAGGCTGTTGAAAGCAGTGGTAGCAAAGGAGTACCATCAGGCATTACAATCAGGCTCCTAAAAAACACTTTCATTTCCACAAGGGCACTCAAAACTGAAACAGAAGTTGTTGCCTAGAAAGCAGAGGGATTTGCAGCCGGGGTGAGGGAGGGGATGCATTCCTTTCACTGCACAGGGAACAAATGGCTTTGTCTTGCTCTCCTCCCATGACTTGAAATCTACAGATTCTGACAGAGAAGACAGAGGCTGCCTGGCGTGTCAGTGAGAGCCTGAGTGAGAAGGTGGAAGCTGTGTGCCTGGAGGAGTGCCTGAAGTTCCTGGACAGGTAGGAATAATGCTGTTTTCCTCCTCGGCAATCTCCTCAGTGCTCAAAAAAGAGAAATCCTAATGAAGCAACTGGTGATGCTGTTTTCACCCGGATCTGCCGTTGCCCCTCTTTAGTTTAATGGCTGTTTCCCATCAAGCTGTTACTGGAGGAACAGTGCTTCGCCGCTGTTTATTTGTTCAGCATTTGCTGTCAGGCTAAAGCTGAGGGAACAAAGTGCACCCAGGCTTGCCTGGACAGGTTGAAGCCTTGGGGAATGTTTATTCTGGAGAGTCTCAGACCTTAAAAACAACCAGGAAGAGGGGCAGCCACATGGCCAGTGCCCAGGCTTGGCCCTGACTACCCTGGCTGTGCTTCCAAGGGATGGTGCTTTTTGCTGGCTCTCTGGGAGGGTGAAGAGCTCAGCTTCTTAGAGGTGGACAAATGTCTTCTTCTCATCTTCTGCCCTCTTATCACTTTTTCTGGCTCCCTTTATCTGCTTTTCACTCTTGAGCGTCTCCCTCCCTGTGTACCCCCCGCAGCAGAAAATGCCAGTGCTGCTGGTTGTAGGTGAATATTTCAGAAGGAGATTTTATTTAAGAGCCTTGGCCATTTGCATTAGGATTGCATTCCTATAAAATGGAGTTGTCCAGGAGCCATTTGTGTGACTGAAGCCACGATGAAGCAGTTGATAGACTGTGGGTCCCTCATACACACTGAGGCTTTATTCTGCAGCTTTATTGGCAAAGCCCAAGTTGCTTCCCAGAAGCAAGTGCAGCAGCAACAGCAATGATAAAATGAATCTCCTGCCTCTCAGTCCCCAGCAATGGCACCCAGGCTGTGCGAGGGCTCTCCCTGTGCCATTCCTGTGCTCTCCTTCCTTGCCAGATAGGCAGGACAGAGACTGTCTTTGTCCTCTTGTAGATCCTGCCTTGAGGAGTGAAACTGTGCACGCTGAATGAAGAAATAATCACAGAATATTTCTCCTGTTTGCTGCTGGGCTAATGCTGTCAGATGTGTTACGGAGCACGCTAGCTTAAAGATATGTCTTCCTGTTTTAATTTAGCTACCAAAATGAAGTACGAAGCTCTCTCCAGCTCAACAGCTGCCCTGGGATCTGCAGCAGCTTACGAATCCTGGAGAACTGCTGTATTCTCAGGTTAGAAACCAGACCCTGGTGACGTGTGGAGCAGAATGCATTTTCTGCTGTCTGATCTTCTTGTAACTCTGCTGTGGGGTCAGCCTTGCCTCCAGCTGGATCTGGTCATCCAACCCCATGCACACCAACCCTTAACCATGGAGGGAACCAGCTGTGGTCACCAAGACCCCGGCTGCCCTTGCAAGAGAGAGGGGGACAGGACTGCTGTGTTGGCAGCATGGGACTGCTGCTTCTCACCTGCTCCTGGGCCCTGCAGGTGCAGGGGGCATAGCCAGTGGTCCACCATCTCATCATTCCTGGTGCCCACGACCCCAAGCAGGAGGCAGGCAGCAATGCCATGTTGCGTGTGGGGACATTATCCTGGCCAACTCTGCCATCTGTTGCAATGTGGTTCCTCTCCCTCATTAGGAAAGCCTCATAAAGGTTTCACTGAGATGTGTGTGCTAGCGCACTTGAAGGTAAGCCCAATCTTAAGAGCTTTGCTGAATGAAACCCTTTCAAACATGCCAGGCTCTCCCTGAGGTTGCTAGGAAGGAGGGAAGCAATAAAGCACAGAAGGGTGGAGGAGGCTCTTTGCACCTACGAGCTAATTTCAGAAGCGCTTGCAGCGATGGAGAAAACAAGGTTGCTTCTCTTCTTCCTGTGTAAAATTATCTGGGGATCTCTGGAGTCAGCAGAACGCCCAAATCCAGCATATGCACCGTGTTTACTTGACGTTGGAGCCTTGCGTTGAGCCTAGGTAGCTGTTCTGTTTGATGTATTTGCATGTTGCTGATGCTGGCTCCCTGGCTGAATACTGACGAGGCTCTTTTATGTAATTCTTTGCAGTGATACTGAGAATTAAGTTACACACTGAGCTTTTGCAGAAAGTAAAATGTCTGGTTTCAAGCTGGTGATAATTTTAACCAGCTGACTTGAAGACCATCCTGATGGAAGATAGTTGTTCATCTTGTATTTGTAGGGTGTTGGAGGCACACAGGATGCTCACACAGACTCCATTTGAAGTCAGGGCCACTTCATGCCTACTCATTTTTGAAAATATTAGAATTTTTACTCATCTAATCTGAGAAAGGATGGGTGCAAGTGGCAATTGTGTCCATTGAGCTTTCATGTCCTTGTGGCAGTATCTTAATGAGAGCTATTCAAAACATGGGTGCGCATATATGGGTCACTGAGCTAGCCCTGAGCACGTGTCCATTCAACTACCCAGGCACTCATGTTGGTCACTGTAGGAAGAGTTTTGATCTGAGAGAATAGCCTGATTTGATCTGATCAATACTTTCCATATTCCCCCTTCTCTTCCCTCCCCCCTTTTTTTCTTTAACAGGACTGTCTGGCATAAGCTGACATACATTTGCAGTGCCAGCACTGGGCAGGATGTTAAGGTAAATGGATTTCTAGACAGGATGGAAGATGAGATTACGGAGCATTTTCTGCAGACAGTCACTTCTAAAGTCAAGGTATGGGAGACCCATGTCAGCACTGAATATTTTCAGACTGTAGGGCAGGCACACACTTCACTCTCATGCCCTGATTTGGAAAGGATGAATCCATAATTTGATCTTCAGGCCCAGTACCCTCCTTTGCCTTGTCTGAAGCTCTATATTGACAGCTTCATCTTTCCCAGTGTTTGGGATCCCTCTTCCACTGTTTGTAGTGTTTGCTGTTGTGCTACAAATGGGTACCCCATGCTGCCCCTGGGCACCCAGACCCCAAGGGCTAAGCTTCACCTGGTACCTACTCATCCCCAGCAGCTGAGCATCTTCCTGGGGCAGCGATAACTCACAGAGCTGTGGTGGGTAGTCAGGATGTAGAGAAGGTTGACCAGAAATATATCCCTCCCTTGGGATAAGTTCCCCTCCCTTCATACTTTCTAATGTTAGACTATCAGCCCTTCATGTCCTGGCCTTCATGTGTGGATAAGACACAATTACAGGCTGCTAATCACAGAATCACAGAATCTTCTAGGTTGGAAGGGACCTTAAAGATCATCTTGTCCAACCGTCAACCTAACTGACAAAAATAGACACCCACACAACAAACAAGGAGCATCATCACTAAACCATACCTCCCAGCACTACATCAACCCGTCTTTTGAACACCTCCAGGGATGGTGCCTCAACCACCTCCCTGGGCAGCCCATTCCAATGCCTGATAACCCTTTCAGTGAAAAAATTTTTCCTAATATCCAGCCTGAACCACCCCTGGCGTAACTTGAGGCCATTTCCTCTTGTCCTGTTGCCTGTGACTTGAGAGAAGAGACCGACCCCCACCTCTCTACACCCTCCTTTCAGGTAGTTGTAGAGAGCAATAAGGTGTCCCCTCAGCCTCCTCTTCTCCCCACTCTAATAGTGCATGGGGTTGTGTGTTTCCTTGGGAAGCTCCCCTGAACGTCTTCAGGCTCACTGCACGGGCTCCCTTGAGCATGCTGAAGGCAGCAGAAGGAAAATGACAAAAGAAGACCTGGCCACACTGTGCCGTTTTGGTCTCCAGAGCTCATTGCCAGCCTGTCCCGTGTGCCCACACGTCAAGAGGGGATCTGGGGATGGTTCTGACAGGGAGCAGGGACAGTCCTGGGGAGGAACAGGAGACCTAGGGCTCAGGTTTTCAGACCTTCTCTGGCTGTGTTGAGACAGGCTTCGAATCATGAAAGACAGAGTTTATTCACTGCCTGCCTGCTCAACGATCCTTATACTTTCCCACTGAATAAGAGGCAATGGCTACGCTGGGAGCAGGATGCCGGAGCGGAAGGTGCGGAATGGCTGACTCTTCCTGCACTCCCCATCCGTGGGGACACATTTTACATAGTCCCCAGATTAGAGCCATTCCACCCATTTTTCACTAGTTTTTGTCTCCCGGGTTTGGACTTAAGGACTTAATATATCCTTCCTGAGTTTGAATTGTTTCTTTCTTTCATGTTTTGCTTTTCTTTGAAATGAAGGCACAGGATGCTGCAGCTCGTGGAGGAGTCTGTTTCTGAGAGCAGAAGGAGAAAAAGCACAATAATCCCTGTCTGTTGTCTGTACGGTGTCTCTACATGTGCACCCTTTGACACTGTCTGTCCCTTTTCCTCAGGGAACACTGAAGGAGCACTTCAAAAAGTGTGACAGTGGTTTTGACCACATCCTTGAATCCTTAAAGCAAAGCTTTTTGGCATTTGGGAAGAAAAAAACAGACACGTATGAGGTAAGAAATAAGTAAGAAAGTAAGAATAAGATATTACTCAGGAAATCACTAAAACTAGTCCTTGAACCTCTGGATGGCACAGTATTTGAACATTAATCAAAACTACAATTTTGTCTGTTGTTAAAAGGGCTTTTAAAGATATAGTGGTCTTGGTCGAATTTCTCTATCCAACAGAGTTGGGTATTTCTTCACTGGGACAGCTAGGACCTTTCTGTAACCTCAGCAGAGAAACCACCAGGTGAAGAAATGTGGAAGCTGAATTTAGCTCCCAAATAAAGAGTGGGAGCATTGGGCCATCTCTGATCTTACCATTGCCCCAATACCATTATGTTGGAAATCTTCTCAGCTTTTAATGTGCTTCAACCTTAGTTGTAAGGCATATTTATCCCTTTGATGGAGAGTGGACACACAGAAAGGTGGACACACACAGATCCCCAAAGGACATAGTCTCTCAGGCAGAGTTAGATATGCTAGGGCTGGTGAAGAACAACCTCACAGAGTCCCTAAGCTTTTTCACCTTTACAGTAGCCAAAACAACTTGTTGACCCTTGAGGCTCACTCTTGAGCCTGGCTCATCAGCAGTGAGATTGGTGCCTTGGCTTTGCTGCTGCTACCTGTGCCACGCATGTCCCTCTAAGCACTGGAGTCCCTTTCTCTTACCCAGCCAGGTCTGCAGGCTCTTTGTCAGTGCTGATTTTGATTAACACTTTGAAATGTGGAAAAAGGTGATGGAACAGAAAAAAAAAATATACATAAAAAAATAGTAGCTGTTTTGCTGCTGTTCAGAGTCTGTCACTGGACATTATGTCACATTAGTGCTGGCGCAAGCAGCAGCGCGGTGGTGGAGCACTCTGCCAGAGCTGTCTGTCTCTTGCTTTGTCTGGTGTGGACAGAGCTGGGGATTTCCTGTACCTTTGGACTGCAGCCTAAAACCGCTCTGATTTCAATTGCTAATGAAAATGTGGTTTCTGTGCAGCAGCCCATCTCCCCTTAGAAACGCTCGCCCTCCGTTCCCCTTCAGCCACTGCGTGGTGTTGGCACTGGGGTTCCTCAGCAGGTGGTGGCTGGGCTCAGAGCTGCTCAGGTGAGTCTCTGTGCCCAGCCACAACTGTGTGCCCAAGGGCATGGTCCTGGAACGTGTCTAATGGGGATGCTCCAGGGAGGCTGGATCTGGCTTTGTCTGTAGTCCAAGCTGTCACCAAGCGACGTGTTTGTCAGCTTGAGGCTAAGCCAAGTGTCACTGCTGCTCTGGAGCACGAGTGACCTCTGGCTCAGCTAACTGGTCCCATTGCTTTTTGGTTGGATGTCTCCGCGCTTATCATCAATGTTTATGTCATTCTCGTAGAGCTTGGAGGTACTCCATGTGTTAGACCAGGCTTTTTAAAGGATACTTCAGCAGAGAAATGGGACAGCCATCTGCATGGGCCCTATATCCCTTGTCTACACTGGTCAGAGTCTTATAGGTGTGGTCTGGTCCTCGTTCAGTACAGGGAAGTTAATTGGGTCGTCTTTGCTCTGGAACAGGCCCTCGTCAAGGCTGTCAACGCCATCATTATTACAGAATATCTGCAGGCCCTCCTGACCACTTCCAGGAAACCATCTTCCGTGCAGAGGAGGAGGATTGTCAGCAAGATAGCAGAAGATCATAGAATGCTGCAAACCGTCTTTAAAGAGTGCTTAGTAAGTCTTTGATATGGTTACAGTTTTGCTCTCTGTCATCAAGAACAGTACCAGCAGAGAAAAAGGCTCTGAAAGCAGCAGAAAAGCTGAAGCGGTCCCACCGCAGTGGCATCCAGCTCCACAGAAATGACAATCAGATGTGCTGATGGCCCTTCTGATCTGCCAGAAGCTGTTTATGGTTTTGAAACGTGTGACTAGAGGAGGCAAGATTCACACTCCTGCCACTGAAATAAGAACGAGGCGTGATCCTCTGAGTTGATGAGACAGCTCCAAAGCTGTCAGCTCCCTCGGGCAAACCTTTGGAGATGCGGAAGACGGAGAGCTGTGTTGCCCCCCGGTGCTTTCCCTTCAGCCTTTGGGCTGATGAACTAAATCAGCTGCTCCACATCTTCATCTTCTCCACGGGTTGCCCTGTATGCTGCCCCTCCCCGGACATGGGCTGTGCGTTGTGACCCCTCCATCTGGCCTCCTCCCTCCCTGCAGGCCCTTCCCAGCCCCTCAGTGCTGGGCTGATGGCTGCACGAACCATTTCCCTCACGGGAATGAGCATTTCCTCGCGGGCGGAAACACGCTGATGCTCTTGTGGTTGGTGACGGTTACAGGGAGGAACGAGTCTTCCTGCAGGGGTAAACACCTCACACCAGTAGGAGGTAAAGACACACTGCAGAAGGAACGGATAGATGGGGTGTAAAAGCAGAGCCACACCTTTGAAGAAAACTTGTGGAAAAATGCTGGGGCTGATTTGCAGAAGCAACTTTAGAAGGTTAAAAACCCCCTCTTTGCTCAATTCGTAATCCGATGTAATTGGCAGTGCCACACACACAGCATCTGTGGATGCCACCAGGCTGTCACACGGGGCTCTTGAGTAGCCAAGGGCAAGGACTGCAGCACCAGCAGCATCCCCTCCTGCAGCTGCTGCAGCCAGAGGCTGAGAGCGCTCAGGCATTGCGCTTCGTAAGAGGCTGGGTATTTGCAAAAGTAGTCTGGTAACAGGGCTCGGATGTGACAGAGCAGATAAAAAAAAAATCTCAGCTTTACCGGTTTTAATAATTTCATAAATTCTGAGTCATGCTCGTGACTCGCAGATTTAAGTGCTAGGGAGTGGAAATCTCTTTTCTCCTAGACGAGTCCCCTTGCAAGCCATTTGTCAGCAATTCTTACTTGGTCCAACGAATGAAATCAAAATGATCGTCTGCAGGCTTCTCTCAAAACCTCTTAGACCCATTACAATTAATGCATTAGTTTCATGGTGGAAGGCTGGAAGCGGGCAGTCCTTTTAGCTGAAGTCCCACCTCTCCTGGAGTGATCAATCACAGACAAGTCAATGCTTTGAGCAATCGAGCCATTGGGAGTAGCAGGAGGATTCTCTAATCTTAGCTCTGAAGTTTACCGGTAATGTTGTGCTCAGCATCAGCTTTGGCTGTAATGTGCAAGGAAAGCTGGTTTTATAGTGTAAAGGAGATACAGGAAATCTAATTACCTACTAAAACCCTAAATTCAGCTTGGGTGAAAAAAAAAAAAAAAGACTGCATCTAGTTAGCACCGTTCCTCTTGCATCCGCAGTCTGTTCACTTTCCCACTTGGTGTGGGAGCAGGGAAAACCTCGGGGAGGAAACGCGTAAGCTTGGCAGGGGACAGCCTGATCCCCAGCCCGGCGAGGCGCAGGGTTATGCATGCAAACTATGTGCCCTGCTGCAGCCTGAATTTATCCTGCAGCGGCTGCACGGGCTGCACCTGCTCCCTGCCCTGCTCTGCCCTCTCTCCGGGCTCTTCCTTCCCCTCCCTCCTTAAAGCACATTAGGAAATACCTCGCCGCTCTCCTAAGAGCAGGACGTGTCAAAGGCACTTAAGCCCTGCTGACAAGACGCATCTTTTCCATCCTTTTACATTGCGGGCTGTTTACCTCTGACCTTGCCTCTCTGTATAGGCTTAACTAAATCTGACACCTTCAAATTAATTAGCATTTTGTAATAGCGAGCTTGCCAAGTAGGAAGCTGTACAGTATCGGTGCCGTAGGAGCCGGGTACAGCTTGTGCAGAGCCAGACATGCTGTGTGTCTGCAGTGCAGAGGAAGAGAGAGAAGGCTGTCTTCAAGTATTACTGGGTTGGTGGTTGTTTTTTTTTTTTCCCTTTTAATTTATGTTCAATGCGGAGGTGAGCTGCGCCGGGAATGTGGCCTGCTGTGTGTAATGCCCCGTGGAGATCAGGGGAACCTGGGCTTCTCCTGCCCCAGTTTGGCAGCCTGTTCTCCAGGTTTGCTTTGTCACAGAGTCTCCCTTGACGTGATGGCATCAATAATTCAGGGAAGTAATTACCTGAATCGCATTACCACACCGATGAAAAATGTGAGCAAGACCTGAAGCTCTCTCTTGGCAGTTCATCCGCATTCTGCTTCCTCCAGCTTTGCTAAAAATGCTGTGTGTTTCTTGAAGAGGCTTTCTCCTTCTGTGTGCTCCAGTTTAGAGGGAGCTGACCATATGCAGCATCTTCCAGCCATGTCATATCCTTTACCCTGTCTACCCCTGATTCCCATTTTTTCCTTTTTTCTTAGAGGATCTGTGTCCCTCCACCCTCTCCCCAAGGTGACTTTTCTGTCTCTGGGCGTGTTCCAGGACAGAAGAAATGCCATCATGTCTGGCCAGCAGAGCTTGTTTTCGCATAGGTACTGGGCTGTGCTTGGCTCTGGAAGCAACAACTTCCCAGAGGGTGAAATGGCCTTGAGAGGACAGGTGATGTAGGGAAAATTTAGGTACATTTTGCCAAAGGAAATGCAGGAGGGGGTTCTGTGCTGCTGAAGGTAGTCACCCAGCTGCCCTGGAAGCTGTCTGTGGCTACAGCCTGGTTTCTTTTCTCCTACTCTGGAGGGCAAACAGGCTTCTCTACATGCACAGGCAGTCTGGCAAAGCTCAGAGCCCACGCAGTGAGGTCCCCTCTTTGATATGAGTCCAGCTTTTAGTGTTGTGTGCTGCTTCCCTTGCCCTGATCACACCTTTGCTTCTCTCACCAGGGTCCTGCGGCTGGTCCCCTCAAGGATCCTCTCAAAGCAATTTTAGAACTTATTCAAACTTCTGATGCTGAGGGAATGAAAATAGCCCTTCTGCCCATTCTCAAAGAATTTCCTGATCTGAGGTAAGGCCTTTTATTGGTTTGACTTTTGTAGTTTCTTACGTGATTACTTACCACCAGAAGACCTACAGCAATATTAGTCCTGCATTACCTTTTGCAGCGTGGTGGGCCAGGCACAATGCTTACTTTTGAATGCACTGCCTATTTGCAGGTGCTGATTAACATGGTTTATAGCTTTGCCAGACATTAACCAGTGGAGTTGAGATGTCCTTCTGTAAAGGTGAAGGATGCATGAAATGGCTGTCAACAAAGCAGGAATGCTGTGGAAAAATACTGCCTGAATGCACAATTTACAGGCACACGTGTGCCAAATGTGGGCTTCAAGAACATCCTTAACTTGGGCATTTCATAACTTCCAAGCACTTGGCTTTGGGCTTTAACACTTCACCAGTCCTTTTCTAGGTATAACTATTTCCACAAAATCCTAGGTGTATTTCTCACAGGAAGCTGATAACAGAAATGAAACCTAACTTTATTAGGAAGGCCAGAACTTTACTAACTGCATTTGATCCAAAGTCTGTGGTTTATGACATCTAATTTTTGTGCTGATGTCTTGTGCTAGTGACTGTGTTTTTCCAAGTTCAGATGATTACAGTGTAGAGCTCTCTGTCACAGGATGCAATGAAGGCCAAAAGTGTGAATAGCTTCAAATAGGGAGTAGACAATTTGTGGCAAATAATTATTTCAGTGCCTATTCAACATGACAGTCATCATATAACCCCCAGCGAAGGAAGTCTCTAAACTGCAGATTGCCAGAAGCCAAACAAAAAAAAGACAGACAAAGAGAGATCATGTTATGCTTCGTCTGGTTTCCACATTCTTTTCCTCAGCATCTGCTACTTTTGAAGATGCTGTTGAGCTAAAAAGCTGCTTATCTGTTACAGCATAACAATTGTGATTCTCTTACTATGTATTAATATATATATATATATGCAACTGTATATTTATAGATATAGCTAGTATAGGAAGTGGGCAAAGGAAGTACTCAGAAGAATATTATTTTGGTCCAAATCTCAGAAGAGGTCATCCTGGTGAGAGCTGATGCACTGCTTTTGATTTCAGCACATTCCCCTATGTTGGGTCCATTTGCCCTGTTTGTTAATCAGGCTAATATGGTGTGCCCCCCCTCAGTGAAGCAATGCTATATAGAACAGAAATCTTGCAGCCTTCCAGATGAAGAAGGTGTAGTTCCATTTGAGGGGGAGAAAAGATACCAAAATGCTTCCAAATGGTCGAATGCAGAGTTACCCAAAACCTGTAATGGTGGATAGAGATCTTTTTCTAGAAGAAACCTGGGGTGAAGATTTCCACAGTTTCATGGGGATGCTGTGTGCACTGGGCTTGGGACCCATGATCTCAGCCCTGTCCCACACAGCTCTTGTGATACGGCCTCCTCCTTGTTAGGTGGCCAGAGGGGGTCAAAATGCAGCTCAGGAGCTCCCAGTCTGTGGTCTGGTTCAGCAAAACTGAGTGATAGCAAGCAATTTTTTTTCCTTGACTTTTTCTCTGACCTGGCCTCTTGTCCTTTTTGGAAAGGAAGGAACATCTGAGTGCGGTGCTGGACATCAAAGACTCGCTCAGCCGAGAAGACCGAGCTGCTCTCTTGAAGGCATTTCACGATAATTACAGGGAATCAGAAACAGAAGCAAACTTGCTTTTTGCAGATATAGAAGTAAAACCTAGAAAATACGGACTCTGTGGCTGCCTCTGCTGTTAGCAAAGGTAAGTGTGTGCATGAGTGTGCTTGTGTGTAACACGCATACCTGCACAGGTGCGGGCATAGAATCATAGAATGGTTTGGGTTGGAAGGGTCCTCAAAGATCATCGAGTTCCAACCCCCCTGCCATGGGCAGGGACACCTCCCACTAGAGCAGGTTGCTCAAGACCCCATCCAACCTGATCAAGACCCCATCCAGCCTGGCTTTTGGGGAGATGGAACAAGTATGGCTGTAGCATCCCCTCCCCGATGTCCTCATTGCTGTATGCACCAGTTCTGCTTCACTCTCTCCCCCTGCAAATTTCCACATCATGAAGCATCGTGTTGTAGGCAGCACAGGGTGCCCAGTACTTAGATGCATGATTCCAGTTACAGCAGGGACAAAGGAGAAGACAGGGCTCTTCCTCACGGTCCTTTGCTCCCCTCTGCTTCCTCGAAGCAAGGTTTCTCTGCAGCATCCCCCCCTCTCCCAGCTCTTACCATGTGTGCATGGGCAGGGTCTCCCTGGCTGCTGCTGGGGTTTTTCTCCTCGGTGGTCCTCCTGCTCCCCTGGTGGAGAGGAGAGGGATACGTGAGCCCCACTGCCACCCCCTGTATTAATTAAGTCAGGCTTGGTCCTGATGAGCTGAGGGTGCTGTGCTGCGAGCACCAGGGTCGAGCGAGCTCCCTCCATGCTGGCAGCAGCAGCCGGTGGCAGAAGGGAGGAGGGATAAAAGTCAGAGGGATGACTGTCACTGTAAGGTTTTAAATCCCCTGGCATGAATTGCTAAGGCTCATTTGGAGCATCTGCAATCTCCTTCCAGTTTCCCAAGGGATTCCTTTGCAGTTGCAAATCGGAGATTTTTATTTTTTTGAGTAAGGTACAGCAGATTTTGAAGCTAAGCAGGTCCTCTTGGTTTAAAAATACTTCTTACTGGAGAACATGCAGCTGTTTGCTTCATTTTAAATAATCTGCAACTTTTTTAGTCCAAATTTGTTCAGCTCCAGCTCAGAGCCAGGAGAATTTTGGTTTATCTTTGCCAGGCCAGAGCCCTCAGCTATCAGAAATAGTCCACCTCGGTTAATATTTACGGAGTGTCACCAGTCACCTGCTGCTGGATAAGCTGGTGAGACTGAGTATCTCAGGTTGAGAAGCACAGTCCCTTTCCACCTCCTCCTCCTCCTCTGCTCTCCGGTGTCACCATTTATTTATAGTTCCCCATGTTAGCAGATCAGGGATGAGTTACACAGGGCTCTGACCTGGGGCCTCCAGGCACAAGCAGACAGCGGGCTACCCTGGTAGCAGGGAGAGAAAGCAATTAGAGAAACAATTAATAAGCACACAAGCTTTCCCTTCCTAATGAAAACTGATTCTGATATAATGAGCTGGCTATCAGCCACCTGCTTTTATACCCTCCTTTAAAGGAATTACCCATGGCATCACCTTTGCTTTAGAAAAGATATTCAGGAATATGTTTTTAGAACACTGTAAACACACTTAATCTCCTATTTGCTGAAATCCCCTGGATAAATAGGCTCCCACATCCCAGATTTGTCTGAGTCTGCAGTGCAGCACAGGTTGGTAGCCTCACCCAAGCTCGGGGGTGGCAGTAACAATAAAATTGGCAGGTAAATGTCGATCCAGCTTCATGCAAGAATCTGTGCATAGGAAGGATGTTTTTGCTGCTTGACACTTGCACGTGTTCTGGCAAGTGCTATTTAATTACCCAGCTTTTTTCTCGCTTTCCCTCAGGCCTGCCGTGAGAAACATGAGGTCTCACTCCCACGTGGCAGCATCTGCAATCACAGCTCCTTGAAAGCTTTGGGGACCCGTGCAGCCGGATGCACAGAGAAGCCTGACAGCTATGGAAGACACACTTCCTGCACTTCTGCAGGAAAAACATGTGGCCAAAATCCGAATCTTCGCTGCAAAGCCCAGGTGGAAGGTGAATGAGATATGGCAGAAAGACATTCCTTCGAAATTTCCTAGAGATTGCCACTTAGCTGAGTCCTGGTGGTTATTCCCAGGACGTGGCATGGTGGTGTGTGGAGGGGGAGGAAAGTTCCCCCTCACCAAATGTCTCTCCATTTCCATCCCTTGTTTCCTGCAATCTCACATGAAACCAGGGACTGCTGCGGTGTCCTAGCAGGTGACATGGCATCGCAACCTCCCCCAGGGACTCAGGACCCTCCGTTAGGGCATCCTGCCCAGCCCATGGTGCTGGTGGCACCTGGATCCACCCCTCAAAGCCTGGAAGGATGCAGAGAGCTGCTCTTCTCTTGCTCCCTACACACAAAGGCTGTGACCCAATTTGGGGACAGCCTGCCATGGCACCGGCTGCGGGACAGGGAGCTCTTCCCATATGAGTTTTACAGCTGGCTCTGGAGCAGAGATTTGCATTCATTTTTATACCTCAGTTACTGGAAATTTCCTCTTGGAGAGGGAGGGGAAAGCCTCCTGGGAAGCAGGCAGTGAAAGGAGTTGTTTGTCCCGGCCTCCGGGCAAGGTCTGTGCTGTTTTCAGATGTAAATAGGCAGTTCCGCCGGGAAAACACTGATTTTTCTTCCCAGTTATCTATGGACTGGTCACAACCTCCAAGCTGGATTTGGTTCAAGGCCCTCCTTTGCTATTGTGTTAATATAGGCCATTACAGCTCCTCTCTGGCCCTGTAAATGAGAAAAAAGCTTTGCTACCTCTGACGTGCCAGTGCTTTTTTGAGCAGCCATTTCCCTTCAAATCTGCTTCCCCAACAAGAAAAGGGGTAAATTTGTGCGTAACCCATTGATATGCGAGGCAGGGGCTGTGTCAGGTGCTGGGTGGGTGCTGCCATGCTCTGCTGTGCTGTCACCCTGGGGACATGGGTGGCCAGCCTTGGGGACAGCTTGTCCACCCAGAGCCCTCCCTGTAGATGGGGTCTTGTGAGCTTGGCAGGAGCTGGGGCAGGTTTATCATTGTCATGAGCTCTGCTCCTGGCACAGTGCTGAGAGTGGGGTGAGCGGCAGAGAAATGAGAAGGAACAGGCTGTTCCACCTCCAGAGAGTCCTCTGTGGGCTTTTGGGGGCACCATGAGACCTCGGCATCGTTACACTCATATCACTGAAGGGCAGTGAGAGCATCCTGTGCCCTGCCTGCCCTTCCTGGCTGCACATCAGCTTCAAATGCCCAGCTCCTCTGTCCCTTGTGTTTTATAGCTGTCCCTTGCAGCTTCAGTGAGACCTTTCCCAAGATGTGGGGAGGCTGGGGGAGCTGCAGCCTGGCTGGGGGGACAGGGGTCGGGCTGTGGGGCTGGGTGGACACCTGCCCTCCCAAGGGTGCCAGCCCTGCTGGTCACGCTGGTCAAGTCACCTTTCCCTCCCACCTAATTGCACGTTTTTTCCAAGGGTGGAAAGGGATGACGGACCTGGCTGCGACAGCAGGGTCAGAGCCAGGCTCTGCCCATGGGGATTTCAAGCATTGAGCCTTCCAGAGGAAATAAATAAAAACCCCTCTGACATTTCGATCATGGCCAGGCTAAAAATAGCCCCCCAGCCTGTGGATGGCTCCTGCCACGTACATGTCGGTTGCTACGTACCTCTCTGCCATCTGACATTCGCTGTCAGACGAGGGTATGTTCTGCTCTCAAGCAGCCGTGGGGGTCACTGGGCTCGCCCTGTGGATGAGATGGCTGAGGACAAGCCCTGCACCATCACGGCTGATACTGTGCCTGTCCTTGCCTGTCTCTGTGTCCGTGGAGAAACAGCACTTTCAATGAGGTTTCTTAACAGTGAGTTTCTCCATCCTGAGCGGAGCATCCACTCGTGGACAGGGCAAATAAAGACTTGAATTTGCCCATGAGGTTTAACGCTGGTGACATGCGTGAGGTTTTCCAGAGCAGGAGGGCCTGGGGACGTGGGATGGGGTTGGGGGGCTGGTGGGGAGAGGCTGCCTGGTGTGGAGGCAGATGGTGTGGGAGGGATGCCCTCGGCCACCTGCAAGTCGCCTGGGGAGAGCAGATGGTGTGTGGGGAGGCTCCTGGTGGCTCCCCAAGAGGGGAGGTGGCAGCAGGGGGGATGCTGGGGCTATCTGAGGTGGTCAGGGAGGGGAGGGAAGGCTGTGGGGAAGTGGGATGAGGGATTTTCCTTGATTTGGGGGGAGATTTTAGCCCACTTTGCCGTGTGCCCTGACCTTTCCAAGTGACCCAGCCTCCTTCTTTCTAGCCTTCACCCTAGGCCAGGGTTAAAGCGCTTGGGTGGGATTTGTGGTGCTCTCTGTGGAGGGCCAGGAAGCAGGGTCACACTCGGGATCCTTCTGCAGGATTATCTGGTGGCCTGAGGATGCAGGCAGGAGCAGTGCTGCCCTTGCCATCAACTTGCCAGGGCCACTGTGGAGCCTCAACAAGGATCTCCCACTTGCCCTCGTGTCTGACAGTCCCCACAGTGGCTCCACCACCGTGAGCAGGAGAGGATCACTTGGAACCCAGCACCCAGAGGCTCCCTGCACAGAGACCCTCCCAGTCCCTCTGCACCTGAGGTTTCATAGGGGTCCTCTTGGTGCCAGGGTCATGCCACCCTCATGCTCACACATCACCCTGACGTGCCAGCCCTGGGGATGCTGGCTTATGGGAGTGACATACTGCTCCCAGTGGTTTGATGCTCTGACTTTTTTGGGAGCTGCTCCCCATCTGTCGCCTCCCCAGCTCTGCACTGGGCTGATGGGTTGTGTGATGAGCAATGATTTGTCACCCGTGTCCCCCACGTTGCTCGGGGCTGGGGTTTGGCTGGGCACTTTGAAGTGCTGCACGCAGCAGAGCTTCGCCAGCCACCCCTGTCATTTGAGCTTCTGGCTCAGAGGGTCACCTTCAGTGCTCCAAGCTGGAGACAGTGGAAAACAGACGCTCCTTAATTATGCTGCAAGATCTGAGGAAAGACCTGACATTTGCCGAGGTGCCACCTGCCCTTCCCCAGTTTACTGAGTGGCTTTGCCAAGGATACGTGGCAGCGAATGGAGGGATTGAGGGTGAAAAAGCAGGGAATCCTGAGGACTTGGACATGCTGACTTCTGTTGGATTAAAAAACGTGCACAAGGAGAATCAATCCCTAAACCCATGAGACCTCAGAGATGGCAAGCCACCTGCTGATTGCAAAATGATATAGAAAATTGTGATTTATTGCCTTTCCTCCTCCCTCTCAAGAGGAGCCTGTCGATGCTGAGAAGCTCATATGCTGATCCCAGTATAAACCAGAATAACTTGTACATGCTTTTGAGGGTTCCATCTCCAGCGCCGGGCTCTGCCAGCCCCTGGCTGGGGGGCGATGCCCACCCCATGGGTGCATGTGTGGGATTGGCAACAGGACAAAAGCCACCCCAGGTAATTCCCCCATGGGGAAACCCCCCAGCACATCACTGAAGGTTTGATTTTAAGGCTTAAATGTCTGCCTTTTTACCCCAGCACCCCACGGCCCATGTGGGAAGGAGGAGAAGGAGGCACCAGCGTGGGCTGAGGTCTTGCTCTGCACCAAGAGCTGGGCTGGGGCCCCCCCAGTTTCCCCCAGCGGTCCTGGGGACACCCCGGGCTGGGAAGGGTACACAGCTGGTGCCATCTAGTGGCACTGGGACACGGAAAGAACCGTGGCTCTTTTATAGTTATTATTTCTATTATTATTATTATTATTATGGTGTACCTGCCTCCATGGCGTATCAGTGGTGTGGGCTGTGAGTGGCCCCTTGCCACGGCGTGAGACTGGCAGGAAAACAAGAAGTTGGGATTTCTGGTGTAAATTAGGATGCAAAAAGCACGCGGAGATTTCTGCCAGCCAAGTCACTTCTGCAGGGAAGGGCCCTAGGGTAAGGTTTTAGTTGGCTTAATCTGATTTAAGGCTCTATGAGCACCAGAAGACACAGTCCTGGTGTCGGCCCTGGGTGCCTCCCCACCACCTCTATCACATCGGCTCTAGGGGTTGGCTCTGCTTCTGTGACAGCAAATTAACAGCCAAAATGAAAAGTTCCCCGTGGGTTCACCTCTTTTCTTTCCTTCTCAGGGGTGGTTACCTCTCTCCGAGCTCCATCTGCCAGCTAACTCCCCTGTCTCCTGCTGCCACCCCAAAGTTTGCCGTTTTCAGCTTATTCCCAGCTGCCCTCCCTGAGCTGCCCCCTTGCCCACAAAGCCATTCCCAGGCTGGCAGTTTGCTTGCTGCCACCCACAGTGTCGTGGAGAGCGTGGGGCTGGGGTCTGTGTGTCCTGCCCACCCCGGTTCACCCAGCCTGTGTGGGGGCTGCTGTGTATCGCCCAGACGGGATGCTCTACCAGGGGTGCCAGGCTGCCAGCAGTTACAAGAAATGGGCTGGGTTTAATACAGCTGCTGGGAAAACCCCTGTCTATCAGGGCTGGGATAAAATATTTGCAAGGTCTTTTGCAAGAGCAGACGGTCTGGAGCAGTTTGTTATATCATATATCCTTGCGGGGTTTTGGAAAAAATGTAAAGCAAATCCTGGTTCACAGATGGGTATCAGATTTTTTTCCTTCACTGGGTTGTGCCCTCCAAATTTCTCCACACTGGTCTTTTGTGCCTAACAGAACGGGCTTGTGATGTGCTGAATGATGTCATTTTATTCCCCTCCAGACTGCCCAGTGCTCAGAAAGATCTGCATCTCCATTCCCAGACAGTAGCCACGGCTCCTGCTGATGGGTCCATGGCCCATTTCACTCACATCTGTTGGGGTCTCATCCAGCATGAACCAAAGTTGGGAGGGAGAGCTGGGTCTGGCAAGGGGAAGGACGAGCTACAACGAGGTGTTGTAGCCCAGAAAGGAGCTGCTGAACATGAGCTGTTGGTTCAAAGCTCTGTGGAAGGGGGAGAGCGTTTCTGTGCCCAGGCTGAGGGCTGTGCTCTGCCGGGGGAGAAGCACCCGTGTAAAGATCTGCGTGGAGGAAGCTTTGGTGTTACACAAAACTGCATTTTGCAATCTGGTCTCGTGTGTCAGTGCCCTCACCCTCGCTGCATGGGTGACAACAACTTACCCGGAGTGGCCTGGTGTGGGTGGCAGCGTGGTGTGCAGCTACAGGCTACAGTCACCCCAGAGCACCCTCGTTCCCTCCAGGTTTGAGCCGCTCATCACACCCATGGGGTCTCTCCGCAGCAGCTCCAGGCAGGGCTGTTTGGATGGAGCAGCCCAAGGCTGGTTTGGGGCTGGTTTGTCAGAGGAGACGGGGAGGCTGGGGGATGCTGCCGGCTGCGAGTGCTGCTGTGGAGGCAGCAGTGATGGCTGGGCATGAGGCTAAAGCACACACTGCAACAGGAGGGGAGGACACAGCCACAACCACAGGACTTGTCTGTGGATTGGTCCTGTGGAGGGTGGGGGGGACAGGAAAGGGATGGTCCCCCACTGTGACAATCATCACCCCTCTCCTCCAAACTGTGACCTACCCACCTTGAGAGATGACTCAAGGAATTGCTGCTTGGGTAGCTGGACATCTCCTGACCTCCCTGCTGCTTTGTGACCCCCCAAGTGTGCAATGGTGATGCAGAGCCCCCGCTGGGACCAACTCAGCCAATCACCGCACGGTGATGGCCTCAGGGACCTTATTGTAACCACGTTTCATGACCTTTTAATGATGAATTGTCTTTTGCAGGTTGTCCAGGTGCCTGAGATGTGGCTCTGGGCTGGCTTCCAGGGCACCGGCTCTGCCAGTTCTCCTTAAGAGCAGCAGCACGAAGGGAATGGCAAAGACAGAGCCCACCCCTCTGCCAAGGTGTGCCCCTGGGCTGGGGATGCTGCAACCTCCCCCTCCCCTCTAATTAATTTCAGCTGTTAATAAGACCTCGGTTTTTTTGCCTGAACCCTGCCTCTGCTCTCGGGCAGACCCCAGCCCGAGTGTGGTCACCTCGTGTAGTGTCGTCTCCCCCCAAAACCAAGCGAGGAGGTCTGGTTGCCCCAGCCTAAAGCCCAGCTGCGGCCCCCCCCCACTTCGGGTGCGTTGTCTTTGCGGTGGGGTGTCCCGGTGGGGTTGGGACCCGCCACTAGATGGCGGTAAAACCTGCGGGAAGAGCCGGAGCCGCACGACATTATAGACTCACAGAATGGTTTGGGTTGGAAGCGACCTTAAAGATCATCTAGTTCCAGCCCCCTGCCATGGGCAGGGACACCTCCCACCAGACCAGGTTGCTCAAAGCCCCATCCAGCCTGGCCTTGAACCCCTCCAGGGATGGGGCAGCCACAGCTTCTCTGGGCAACC